ACACTTCAAATCAAAGCACCTGCACTTCAACAGGGACGTCCCGTGACACTCGTTATTATCTGCTTTGCCGTGGTGCCTCCACCTCTCATGTGTACACCAAAAGATCTTCGTCACCTCTGACATTAAGAAGCAAATCAACCATGCTTCTCTTCTCAACTTGAGCCTGACAATAACCTTCCCCCGCTTGTTGTCTTTATGCTCCACCTGCATCGCTCGTCTCAAACTATATCGGTGCACCTCTCCTACTCCACACTATGAGCCGGATACCTCTATCTCCTTTATCACTTGGCTTGGACCGAATATGAGCGCTCATCGTCTTCAAGTCCAATGTCACCATCTCCATCAGCATGTGTGTCGCTCAATCATTCCTACTTGCAAGCTCCATCTAATCTGATACTGTCCACATTGAGTCTACACACCAACCAACTTTTGCTCTCACAATAACTCTGAATAATTATATGCTGACAACTCTACTGCTAGAATCACGTCTGATTCTCTACACCAGTCTCATATGTCGCATACTCGCTTGCCCTATCTGTCATTAGATCTGTCTCGGTACCACCATCAGAACTTATCAGCACCTTCTGATGAATCTGAGCATAATCTGAAAAATCAGACCCTTCCATCACGTTCAGAGCACTCCAAAACCTAGGAATCAACTCCTGGATTGTCGAAATCTGCTTCCAAACCCTTCTTTTTTTTCTTTTTTCATCTTGATTCTTGTAACGGCGCCAATCTTCACTTTTGTACGACGTCTATCTTGCAAACTTGCTCTCGGATCCATCATCATGGCTCTGATACCACTTGTTAGGGAATTTAGTCTCCCCGCCTACTATGATTTACGCAACTTAGAAGCCAACCCACAATCAACAAGATATAAAACAATCACAACAACAAGAAAGAACACTGAGATTTACGTGGTTCGGTCGACCAACTTTGACCAATGTACACGAGACAACAATACAAAAAATCCACTATGTATTAGGGAGAACTACAAGAGAAATCACTCAACTCTCGTCTCTCAATCTCTCAACCTCACATACATAATCAACTCTCATATTCTCTCCAAAACCCACTCCTTACAATCTTTTGAACGGACGTCAAAGACTGTGAAACTCTCTCCTAATGTTATAATCTTTTGCACGGATAAAGATCATGAAATCCTCGCCTCTTGCACAATATTCTTGAATCAGGCTACGCCCTCTGCTAACCTTAGATTACAAGAATATTGGCTCTCTCTCTTTTCCTTAGTTTTTCCTCCAGCAATAGAAGAATATATATATATATATATATATATATATATAGGAAAACCAAAAACTCTATCTCTAGTCTAACTTCCTAATTAGAATATCATTCAAACCCCTAATCATGATGAGATCCAATTTTCTAATCATGATAGATCTCTAACCCTATCTAATTCTCATGAAGTTATACAAAAAATCAAAGACACAATCCCAATAACTTTGCCCTTGTAGTGAGCTATTGTAGCATTTTTATGTATAAAATTTAATGCGTTTGGAGATTTTGGTAATGATGTGATTATGTACTTTTTTTTCCAAAATATGAAAATTTGTCAGTGACAATTGTATATATTTTTTAATTTATTGATTATATAGCAACATGGCTTCCCAAAAGTTGTAGAGCCGCCACTAGATGTCAGTTAATGGCATGCTATGTTACTGTTTGTTGGAAATTTGCAGTAAAAAGACAATGAAAGAAAAAAAAATTGACTTGTATTCTCTCAAAATCAATTACAATTTGGATTCTGATTACAAAAGAGAGGAGAATGAGTTTGATTCTCCCCTTTGTTTAATTCTGGGTTCTTCACGATGGCGATGAGATGCCTCCCTCGAATGCTCGCGTCGAGTTTGCTTCTCGTTGACGATCCGAACGTCTTGATTCACTGGAACGTAGTCTTCTCCTCACGATTTGACGCTGTGGAGAACTTGCGTGGCAAGTCTTAAAAATAACTCTTACCGAGTTAATAACTCAGAGCGAGTTTATCTCTATGAAAGAGTTGATTTAAACCGAAAGTTCGGTTAATAAGCCAAGGATAAAGAAGCTCCTGTTGTCGACCTCTAAAGCTCCAGTCGAAGAACGAATGCTCTTCTTTGCTGCCAATCCTCAGGTCCAAAAAGTCAGCCCTTGACCGAATTTCCCTTTGTTGATGAGAGAAAATCCCCCCCAACAAAAAAAGGATCCGAACTCAGTTGAGTTTCCCACTATTTATAGGGGATTAAGGGTGGTAACTACCCCCTTAATCCGCTCCTCAATGGGCTGAGTGAGGTGTAACCGCCCCCTCTTAAATAGCTCCCTAAATCGTGGGGAAAACGGTTTTGAAACCGTTCTGTTAGTGCTTTGAACGAGTCAAAACGCCAATCTGGGCGTTCTGGACCTTAACTCTGCGTCTTAGAGATGAGACGCAGAGTTGGGCGCTTGTTGGGAGTTGAAAACGTAAGGGCCGCTTGCGTTCGGACCTTAACTCTGCGTCTTAAAGATGAGACGCAGAGTTGGGCGCTCGCTGGGAGTCGAAACGCACAGGCCGCATGCGTTTTAGAGATGAACTCTGCGTTTTAGGCTGAAAACGCAGAGTTGAGCCTGTTTTAGGCTGAAAACGCACAGTTGGGCCGTTTTAGAGGCGAACTCTGCGTTTTAGGCTGAAAACGCAGAGTTGGGCCGTAACTCTGCGTTTTGATGTTATATCACAAGGATAACCTCTGCGTTTTGAGGTTATAACGCTGGTTCGACCTGTGCGTTTTGACTCTGTAATGCAGAGGCGAACCTTAGGCGGGCTTGACGAGCTTCAAGCTAAGTCCAATGTTCTGACGAAGTCCGGTCTTGCAGACGGACTTCAGAACATAATTTGCTACGAAGAACAGGTCTAAACTTTCAAACTGTAAGTCGGAATTGGACGAATTATATATGAAAATCGGTTATCTCGACGAGACGGGGCCATCCGAACCAAGCCAAAGGCTTTAGTTCGCTTCCTCCGTTTCGCCAAATTCCTTACGGTTTGAGAGATATCTGCATTCTAATATGAAGAGACCGTCAATTTGTAGTCTCTTTTGCTAGAGCTTTGCACAGATCGTCCTCTTGTAATCTTCGTCTTGGCTCCTTGAAAATATGAGAGTCGTCAGATTGTAACTCCCGATGTTGATTGTGAATGTTGTTGAATTAGAGCTTTCATCAGTTGTCGTGAAGGTCGTCAGATTGTAGCCTTCTACGTGAAAGTCCTCAAATTGTAGCCTTCTGGAAGTCGTCAGATTGTAACTTCCATCATCGGTGTTTGATGGGGGATCAACTATCTATTGTGATTTTTAGACAGCCTACAGTTACTATATCAATTAGAGTTTGACGATCTTTTTATATGATTTTAGAGAACAAATTCGCTTGGAGGACCGATGAAGAATTTGGACGAGAAATGCTTGCTGGTGTGAACCCCGTCATTCTGAGGCGCCTTCAGGTAAATTGACGTTCATGTATCGTACTGAAATCTAAGTGATCATCTCCTCCTCCCTAAAATAAATCAAAGAACTTCTAAAAACTTTCAGGAATTTCCACCAACAAGTAGTCTTGATCCAAGACTATATGGCAACCATGCTAGCTCCATAACAAAGGATCATATTGCGAAGAACCTAGACGGACTTACAGTTGATCAGGTATTATGTCAAAATCCCATAAAACTTTTTAACTCAAATTAAGATGTAAGCTACACTGATCCTATTTTTTTTCCCTTCAGGCATTGAAGAGCGACAGGCTCTTCATTTTGGACCATCATGACTCCCTTATGCCATTCGTGAACCGAGTCAATATTGCCACTGCTAACAAGATATACGCAACTCGAACTCTCCTATTCCTTAATGATGATAGTACTCTGAAGCCCTTAGCAATCGAGCTAAGCTTACCTCATCCTGAGGGAGAAAAACACGGTGCAGTCAACAGAGTCTTTACACCATCGAATCATGGAGTCGAAGGATCAATATGGCAGTTGGCCAAGGCCTATGCTACTGTTAATGACTCTGGAGTTCACCAGCTCATCAGCCATTGGTACGTGAAATCAAATATAGCATGATCTGTAACTAGAAATGAACATATATATGTCTTTTTGATCAAATTTGTGTTGTAGGTTGAACACACATGCAACAATCGAGCCATTCGTGAAGATGAAGATGATGACAAACCTGGTCGGTATTTATCTAAGTACAGTCCAGAAGCGCGCAAGCTCATGGAAAAGCAGGGGTACGATTTCACACTCGGAGAAGGTTTATACTTCGATCGAGGTCCTCGTACTCCAGCCAAAGCGGTATATGTACCAAAAGGGAGACCAGAGGATTATTATAAATATGGGCGAGGCTTAGGCTATATTTCCTCATCCGATGATGAATGTGGTTGGCAAATTATCAATCAAATTGCTAACAAAACTAAGAAAGGATACTCTTCTGATTCTTCAGCCGAGGATTCCGACACAAGTTGATCAATATGGCAGTTGGCCAAGGCCTATGCTACTGTTAATGACTCTGGAGTTCACCAGCTCATCAGCCACTGGTACGTGAAATCAAATATAGCATGATCTGTAACTAGAAATGAACATATATATGTCTTTTTGATCAAATTTGTGTTGTAGGTTGAACACACATGCAACAATCGAGCCATTCGTAATCGCAACAAATCGGCAATTGAGCGTAGTGCACCCGATATACAGACTTTTGAGCCCACATTTTCGGGAGACGATGAATATCAACGCTTTGGCTCGCCAGATTCTCATCAATGCTGATGGAGTTCTTGAGAAGACTGTGTTTCCTGGGAGATACGCCATGGAGATGTCGTCCGCAGTATATAAAAGTTGGAAGTTCACTGAGCAAGGTCTACCAGCTGATCTCCTCAAGAGGTACACATAAATTACCTAGCATATTTTTTGTTTTCCACCTACCGAATTACTATGTGTAGCTTCAATTAATATATAGCATAGTATAATACAAAATTTTCTTCTATTACTTTTTTGCCTTCATAGCATAAAGCTAGTCATTGGTAACTGAATGGTGACTGTAAATTTTACATAGCGTGACAAGCACAAGGGGTTTATTTAAGAAAAACCGTCTTTCTTAATTAAGCATCTAAGGCTATATATGGCAACCAATCAAAAAATGAGCTCGGATTAATTCTGGCCTAGTTTATCATGTTAGGTTTAAATCAAATAGGGGTGATCTAGCTTTTAATTAGTTTAAGGGGTCATTTTGTGGAGTGCTGCTACGGGGACCTAAAATATGGGACCAATGGAGGGGACATGTGAGGTGTCCCCTTCCTATTGCATAATGAGTTGGCATGACCAACTCATTATGCAATAGGAAGGGGACACCTCACATGTCTTCTCCCTTGGTCCCATATTTTGGGTCCTTAAGTCATTTTCCCATTTTATGAGCTAAGAAAAACTGGCCGAGCTAAAAAGGGGTTGAGGATCATTATTTACCCGATTTTGAGTGGTTGACAAACACAACCTTAGATTTCCAAACATAAAGTTGATTGGTGACTGAATTTCCACAGCATTGATTAAATCTGTCTCCGAATATCAACTCTTTTCGATGGATGGACACTCTTTTTACCACCCATTTCAAATATTAGTGGGTGCTTCAAAGGAAAAGTTCTCGTTGTACCTAATAATTCATTAAATTTGTCTGCCACCACCACCATAACTCCAAGTTACAGTACAGATCTGTACTTTCTAACCGAGTTGCTACGCGCTGTCTTTGTCAGAGGCATTGCAGTTGAAGACCCAACCAGCCCAAACAAACTCCGGCTCCTAATCAAAGACTACCCCTACGCCGTGGATGGGCTCTCCGTCTGGGCCGCAATCGAGACGTGGGTCACTGAATACTGTTCCATCTACTATTCAGACCACGCCACAGTCCAATCCGATACCGAGCTCCAAGCCTGGTGGACTGAAATAATCGAAGTGGGCCATGGCGACAAAAAGAACGAGGCCTGGTGGCCCAAAATGCAATCCATCTCCGACTTGGTCCAAACTTGCACTACGATCATATGGATATCCTCTGCGCTTCACGCCGCTGTCAATTTCGGACAGTATCCCTACGCTGGTTACCTCCCGAATCGGCCAACCATCAGCAGGCGTTTTACGCCCGAACCGGGTTCGTCTGACTACGACGAGCTAGCCAGAGACCCAGGCCGGGTTTTTTTTAGGACTATAACGAGCCTGGTTCAGACGATACTGGGCGTGTCACTGATTGAGATATTGTCACGCCATTCATCAGACGAGGTGTACCTCGGTCAGCGAGATACACTGGAGTGGACATCCGATACGAGGGCTATCGATGCTTTTCAACGGTTCGGGAGCAAGTTGATTGAGATTGAGAATAGGATTTTGGAGATGAACCAGGATGGAAGTTTGAAGAACAGGAATGGGCCGGTTCAAATGCCGTATACTTTGTTGTATCCGAATACGTCGGATCATACGCTGGTTGGTGGGCTAACGGGTCGGGGAATACCAAATAGTGTGTCGATTTGAGGTTTGCAGCGGGTGACCGGTCCAACAGTAGTGTTGATTTCTGCTTGACACGGAGATGATGGTCTATAATTTTGAGGAATCATGAAACTGATTCTGGCGTTAGGAATAATTTGGTTATAGACGCAGTCTGGACTTATGGAGATGATGATGATATTGTATTGTGAATGATGATATTGTATTTGGAAAAAGAGGTACACTCATATATATCTACATAAAATGATGTTGTATTGCTAATTTGTTAGTGAGTTTGATTTTATTATTTTTTTAATTATTATTATTATTTTGGCGAGGAAACTTCGCCATGATGCTTCGAAACATGGGTATCAGACCCTGGGCATGGGTAAAGGGCACTCTCCCTCCCCAATGCACGGCCTCGAGTATTCCATGAAATTAAATTCGTGTAGGTACTCCTCGCCTCACAAATTAAAGTCGAACATGAGATCTTAGAGTGTTACTAATAGATAGATTATCAACTAGATTAGACCCTCTTGGATCAGTGAGTTTAAAAATTGAGTTTAGTGTATATTAGCTGTAGTATATGAGAAATAAAGGATTCTATTTTTTTATGTAAATTATGATCATCCAATTTCTAAACAAAGTACAATCGCAATATTATTTTCATGCCTCGTCTAAATATACACTATGCCATTTTATACATTAGCTCCGTTTATTAGTCAAAGATAAGGTGGTTTATCAACTTCAATTATCAACAGCAATCATTTATATATTAAATCAAATAAAAAAGAAAGAACAAGAAGTTATGATCATTTCATAAGTACATTTTGATAGGGAAACAAGTCAGCATGACAACATAATAGCTGGAGTACAGCCAACACTTCATCTTGTTAACATCAACATCCACATCATCTTATTCCATAAACAAATGCAACAAAAGCAAGTAGTATGTCTACAACATATCACCATCCATCAGATCGTCGTGAGGATATGTTCAATTATGGATGGTGAGCGTACAAGCCCGTCAGCATTCATGATATATATACTCTTCTCGTGAGTGATTAAGCTTCAATGGTGGTGGTTGGCCTAATGGAATCCAATTCAATCCTCATCACTATTGAGTCGTGTTCTTCATTTGCATTTGCATTCTTCTTCTTTTGTCCCCAAATCTCTGGTATCATTGCTTTTAGGTTGAACATTCCATCTACCAAATAATCTGCTTCGTTGGTCTTCACCCTCTTGCCAACCTGTGAAAATTGCCATTGTCGCTGTTAACAGGATTTTCTGATAAAATATTAAAGTTAAAAAATGTTTGCTGATAATCCCTTCTAACCGGGAGGTATGCTATTTTGAGATAATCGTCCAAACTCCAAAGTTAAGGGAGTTTAAACATTAGAACCCTCTTAACTTTGGATGATTACCGGAAAACCCCCCTTAACTTTCAAAATATTCAGAACCTCAACGCCG